GGTGTTTCTTCTAGCACTAAGTCTCTCTAGCTAAATACAAACAACTAGTGAGTCTCTCAGAGTTGTAACTTAGAACTGTGGTTCATGGTCAACTGTACATCCAACACTTGTAACTCGACAATGGATAAATGTCCCTGGCTGAAGAAAGGGAATGGAGCTCCTAAAAGTCTTTTATATACAAAAGCTGGTGAAAGGAAATGAAAGCACTCAAGTCCCAAGTTGTACTGAGTTCAGATATATTGTATAAGGTCTCCGACACTCATGTAAAGGTGGTGTAAAGTGGGTAAGAACTTAAATCTGCCCGCAGATTCGGTCTGGCTAGTATCCTTGACTCGTGGGATGTGTTTGTGCTCATTCATTTGGCCCAAAGGACGTTTCCGACCACAGTGCCTCCAGGTACAGTGCCCAAGGAGGAATGAAGGACACTGGGTCCATCAAGGGCTCTTCCCTGCAATTTTACAAATGGCGGCTCCAACCTCTCCCGACCAGGGAGAAGAGAGGAAACAGGAGACCACATCCCTGAGGACGGCTTGCTGGAACAGTGCAAGACTGAAGGCATCTCCATGTATGCCCTCCGCGTTCAACAGCAAGAATGAGGTCGCCACGGAGAGCGGCAGAGCTAAGAGACAAAGTGCTGGCACCAAGGTCTGGGTCCCTGGACACTGAAGCCTGATCCATCCATATTCCACCCGGTGCCCTGAGACTATTCATCTCCCTTCATTCAACTGCAGCCACGGATGCTCCCCAAGAAGACAGCCTGGGGAAAATGCTAATGAGGCCACGGCCGTTGTCCAGCCACGCCTCTCACATTTGTGTACACTGTGTGCACGCGCACAAGAAGGGAAGGGAGGGATGAGAACAGCTGCCTCCCAAATGAGAGGTGACAGTCTGGGGTTCAAACTACAATTTCCCTACTCATTGCTGATATGACTTCCGGGGGGGTGGGGTGCTTGATCTCTTTCAAGCAAAATTTTCTCTCTGCCAAATGGAAAGGACGACACCCAACACCTCACGTACTAGAGAAAGTGCCCGTTTCAGTGCCTGGAACAGGGTAGTGCTCAGGACACAGGGACTGTTCAGTCTTACTGATGAAAAGACAAGGCTTATGGTTGAAGAGATCTGGGATCTTAAGCATAACGACTAAATTTTGTTCCTCCATTTCCGGATTTGTCACAGAAAAAATTGTTTGACCTCTTTCCTGCATAAGTTTCTATAAATTCATATAAAGTAGTAGCCACCTCAGCATTCCTTGCAGTAGACTTTCCATTGCAGCATATAGGAACGTTTCAGGGCACGTGGTCTACTCAAGTGATCAAACAAAACGGAAGTCAGGGAACCAAAGTATTCCAGAAAGTCTGGGTTAACTCAACATTTTCACTTATGTAATTTAAAAAAGTCAGGCTTAGTCGTCAAGCTCAGTCCTCCTAATTTTTGTGCTAAATGGTGCAGGATCTATCACACTTGTGTTTAACATCAAGAGTATTTACTTTTTTAACCAGGTAGGAAACTCTAAGTCCAATAAAGGAAATCAGGAAAAGGGAGGGCAGAGATAGCCGGGCTGTAACACCCATCCCCTATCACTACAACTCACTGAATGCCAGTCTCGGATGAAAAGTAACAGAAGCTCTAGTGAATCTGAATAAAAACGCCCCTGCAAATGGCTGAAATTAACAACACAGGAAATAACAGCAGATGTTGGGGAAGATTCAGAGAAAGGGGAACCCTCTTGCACGGTTGGTGGGAATGCAAAGTGGTACAGCCGCTCTGGAAAACAGTATGGAGGCTCCTCAAAAAATTAAAAACAGAACTACCCTGTGATCCAGCAATTGCACTACTAGGTTATTTACCCAAAGGATACAAAAATACTGATTCGCAGGGATACGTGCACCCTGATGTTATATGTAGCAGCATTATCAATGATAGGCAAACTATGAAAAGAGCCCAAATGTCTATCAAGCAACGAATAAATAAAGAAGATGTGGTGTATATGTACACAGCGGAATAGTACTCAGCCATAAAGAATGAAATCTTGCCATGGATGGAGCTAGAATGTATCAGGCTAAGTGAAATACATCAGAGAAAGACAAATACCATATGATTTCACTCGTGTGTGGAATTTAAGGAAGAACAGATGAACATGTGGGGGAAAAGAGAAGCAAATCATAAAACAGACTCTGAATTATAGAGAACAAACAGAGTTGCTGGGGAGAAGGTGGGGGGATTGGATTAAATAGATGATGGATATTAAGGAGGGCACTTGTGATGAGCACTGAATGCTGTAGGTGAAGTGATGAATCACTACATCTAAAACTGAAGCTGATATTACACTGTATGTTAACTACCTGGAATTTAAATAAAAACTTGGAAGGAGAAACTCCCCTACAAATGAAGCGGTCCTGAGACTGATTCTGACCACTTGATGTGAGTTATGGAGCCTTCTAGGAAATCGTTCTAAAAGGCGGGAGCATGCCTATTTCCTTTCAACTGTGCAGAACATAGATGTGGTATCTTGAGTCCCAGCAGCCATTTGTAGCCAAAGGGATGAACGTCAACCCCTCCGAACAGTGGAGTGAAGCTGAAGGACGCTCCAATGACTACCTGCATCTCTAGACTAAATTTTTTAAATGGAAGAGATTAATGCCTTGCATATTTAAGCAACCAAGTTTGAGAGCACAGTGAAGTCCTGTTACAGATAAATTTATTTCCTACCATATTAAAACAAACACAATCCTAAACTGACAGGTGATGAACGATTGCCTGGGGACATGGAAAGAATTTAAGGAAACACCCGCAGGTGATAACCATGCTCCTAACCTTGATGTAGTCTTGTTTTCATGGGTGAAATACATGCTGAACGTATATATGTTCATACACTTTAAATATGTACAGTTCATTGCATATCCATTTTCCTCCATAAAACGGGGGGGTGAGGGTGGGGGGGGACCTGCCTCAGTCTCACCATAATCAGTAAAATGTTACTATTCACATTTTGGCCTATTTCTACTTCCACCATTTTTAATGCAGTTTTTACGTGTTTCACATTATTTTTCTTAAACCAACTTCAGGGTTTCCTAGTTTTAGTTAACACTGTATTTGTAATGCGATCACAAACTCTTCATATATGTAAGGGGCTTAAAAAAAAAACAAAAACCCTTAACTGCTATGGTTGACCTTTCCTACTGGGTACAATCCACACCATCAGGATGTAGGACATGATCTTGGAGATTCCTATTAGGAGGAATGAGTAGCCACCTGCCACTTGGCTCCTCCACCCAGAATGCCCCATTGAGCTCAGCAGCACCAATTGACATTTGAATTTCAACCCTAGGTTCTTTTTATTACTCACACAGCAGACTGTCTGCTAACGAAGACTGTATTTGCTGTAGGGAGTTAAGCATGGCAGACAAAATCTCCTGCCTACTACTTCTCTTTCCTCTCCACGAGAAGCTCAAATTTCCATTTCCCTGAGATTTCATCATTCTAATCATAGATCTCTCCTTAAGCCTCTAGCCAATCAGGACCACTCCTTTTTCTTTCCAGAGTGGCTGATCCCATAAAGTGGAGATCACCAGCAATTCTCTCAATCATGTCTCAAGGACCCCTGAGTGTTCCAAATCTCCAAGGACAGAACCCAGCCACAGCAGGTCTTTAAGCTCCCCAGGTGTGAGTCCAGGAGACACAAGCAGGGTAAGGCAATGGACTAATGAAGGCCATGAAAAGGGAATCCACAAACCACTGCATCCAGGGGACACAAGCTCACCAAAACAGAACAGAAATAAAATAGAACTAGGCACTGATGGGGGATGCTGGCAACCAAGAACCACTCGGAAGGCATACAGAAGAAAGCAGGGCACTCTGGCATAAGAATATGTCAGAATTAGTCTGCAGAAACAGACTCTCAAACCTCTAATTACAGGACTTGAATATCAGATAATCTGACTCTTCAGAAAGACTACTTCAATATCACTCATCAGAACGTGATAGCTGCTGAGAAGCTTACCCAGAACTATCCTTCTGCCCCTACTTTAAGTTTATTTATTTTGAGAGAGAGAGAAAGAGAAAATGAATCTCAAGCAGGCTCTGCACTGTCAATAAAGAGCCCAGTGTGGGGCTCAAACTCACAAACAGCAAGATCATGACCTGAGCAGAAATCAAGAGTTGGGTGCTTAACTGACTGAGCCACTCAGGCACCTCCTTCTGCCCTTTCTTTGATCAATTCCTTACCATTCCCAAAAAAGATCTTATTTTACAGAATTCACTTATTCAAATACTCTTAAGTATGTAAATTTTCCACTCAACTTCTGCTCAATGATCAGCAATGTTTCCTAACTTTCAAACTCTTCCTACAGGACAAGGAAAACATCTCGTGATTTTTTTCTTTTCTTATAACCTTGTCTCCTGGACCAGACAAGATTTTAAATCAGTTCAGGCATGCCGTTCCTTGACAGTAAGAGGCCTATTCTATGCCCCAAAGTTACACACGTCCCTTCCTAAACCCAAAGGGATGGGGACTCAATAGAAACCAGGGTCTCAGTTCCCAGGAGATGCCTTTTTGTCGCTTGGGAAAGAATCTTGAGATTCTGAATCTGATCTTAAACTTCTGTTGCTCACTTAGGTCTTGCCTATAAAGAAATAAATGTGAGCAGCAGAGCGATCTGTCTGGAAAGCATTTGGGGCCCAGCCTTCCTGCAGTCCCAACTGAGGCATGCTGGTGCCCACCTGTATAAGGGGAGGGGGCTGGATGAGGAACAGGCAGATGATGGGGAGGGGGCAGGGCAGCCTAAGTGTAGGCAACAAGCCCTGACTGGCTAGTCAACTTCGGCCACGCCCCTCTCTGCCTCCCCGAGGGATTACTGCTGCATGGATGTCACATGAGCTGGTTTCGGTCAGTGTTCTGGGGCCCCCACACACCGGAGCCTGCCCACTAAGCTACACATGCCATCTGACTGGGGGTGAGGAGGGTTTTAGGTGCCAGAGAGCAAGGGAAGGGGGGAACTGACCTGGATCGCCTGACGGCCCTGCTGCGCGTCGGCCAACAGCTGGATGGTCAGCGCCCTCGAGTCCTGCAGCGCCTCCTGGAGGTAGATGAAGCTGTGGCCACCGTGCCGGCCCATTGTGCACTCACGACAGATGGGCACCGAGCAAGTGTCACAGTACAGGTGCAGCACCTGGGGGCCGAGAGGGACAGGCATTAAGGAGAGACTTGGGACTAGTGGCAAGGGCAACAGCCACCGGGCGCTCTGTGGGCGCCAGACCCCCAGCCAACCCCCTCCCCCTTAGCAAGCACACCCCTACCCGACAGCCAACTGCCAGCGCATCGTGCCCTCCTTTCTCACCCCCTCAAGGAAAAGACAACAAATCTCCTCTTTCCACTCCAGTTTCATTCAGAACCTTCATTGAGACACTCCAAAGGCAAAGATGAAACAAATCAATCCTCCTAGATCTCAGATTAATTACCCAGAAGAGCTCTAAGATTGTATGTCTCCAGTCTGAGATTGGTGGCCAGAATGAAAGAATATGCCAGAAAAATGGGTCTTGCCAGCGCACCCTCTGCGTGTGTGAATCACAAGTCAGGAGTCAGTATCAACCACCCTCACAGGGCAGCTCAAGGCCACATCCCCATCAAGGCGCTTGGCGCGAAGCACAGTGCCCACTTCTCCCAGGCACTCAGCAAGTGATGGGCTTAGGCTTCTGGAACGAAGGCAAAAAGCTAGCAGTGAGGTCAGCCAGCTTCTTGTCTTTCTTCTTCCTGCCAAGTCATTCCAAGGATGACCCTGCGAGGCAGCCAGGTGTCGACAGAACGGCTTTCTATGATGCCCTGCACCTCCGCAGGGCCTGGCCCGCAGGGAGGGCGAGAAGGCTTGGCACCACTTCCACCTGCTGATAAATGAGGAGCTCTCAAGAACGAGGGCTCCTTGGCACAGAAACGGGGCTCCAGAGCCATGGCCTTCCATGGAGCGGGGCCCTCAGCATGCTCTTTGGCACCGGGTGCGGTGTACCTGGGCGCGACTGGGCCACACGCAACAGGCAGGGAGCAGTGTCCCTGGGCCACCTTCCACGGCACAATGCGCTTAATCCCCAGATGAAGACCAAAGGTCAAGGTGCCTCAGGGCTACACAGCAAGCTAGGGCAGAACAGGGAGGCCAGCGCGGGCCTTCTGCAGACAGACCAGGTGCTGGCTCTTCACTGGGGCCCCAAGCACCCTCTGAAGTACTGTGGCATCCAGGGGAGACCCTGGCCCGGGGCAGACAGGACATTACAGGGCTCAGAGATGGAGGGGAGGGCAGCCGTGCTCCTGGGATGGAGATCCACACGAAAGGAAGCCTGGGTGATAGTGAGCACCTGCTTCTGTTCCCTTTGGGTGATTCTAGCCAACATGCTGGCACAGGGCGTGCCTACTAGGAAACTGTCTCCACAGACAGCTCACTCGGGGAAGCAGGCCTGCCCTGCCCCTGCTGAGGGTGCAGAGGTGGGCGGTGGGGGGCAGGGTTTGCTGCGTGGGCTAGGCTGCTTCTCAAGGAACTTCTGCATTTAGAAAGACTTGGGATATTATGTTCCCATTTTTTCAAATATTTTAATATTGAGAGAGAGAGCGCACGCGTGCGACTGGGGCAGGGGCAGAGAGGGGGGGAGACACAGAATTGGAAGCAGGCTCCAGGCTCTGAGCTGTCAGGACAGATCCTGACATGGGGCTTGAACTCATGAACCTTGAGATCATGACCTGAGCTGAAGTCAGATGCTTGACTGACTGAACCACCCAGACACCCCGTTCCTATTTCTAAGAAATGGATACAGCACATTTTATAGGAGGGAAATGGGATCAGGTTTGTGACTGGACCAGGCCTTTTGTCCAGTGCAGTACTTCCCCAGCCACCATGAGTGCCTGAAATTTGGGGACAGCAATTTGCCTCTAAGACTAGTCGCTTTTTAAAGCAGGTTCACCATTTACAGATGATCTTATCTTTCTAATCTGATAAAGCTAAAATTTCCAAGCTAACCTTAAATACGAACCAAAAGATGTTAAACTGGATAAACTTGGGGGAAACTCCTGGACAGTCTCTAAGATGAGGTGGTAACAACCCACCCTCCCCCACCCAGATTCAACAACTCCCCTTCATCCCTTCCCTTTGGCTCCCTCCATTTGTCCTGGGAATGAAGGGGTCACTCCTATGCTCATGTGAAGTATGAAAATCTTCCCATCTGTAGGCTCCCTTCAAATCAGAATGGGGCTGGTCCCCGAGCCCTCTGTCCTCTCTGCCCCTGCCAAACCACTACGCAATCCCCTCTTCGCCTCTTCTCTGGACAGCTGTGTGGACTGGCCAGGGTGGACCTAACTGCTCTCACCTGCAGGGAGCAGGAAAGCACCTGAGGCTGTTAGCCTGAGCCCGGCACCATCTGGCCCTGGGACCAGTCACCTGACCCGACTGGCCTCATCAGTGAAACACAAGCAGTCCGGCTAGGTGCCTGGGGGACCGCCCCCTCCCTGCAATCCCAGTAACCCTACCTCGGGGACTCCACACCAGAAACCAAAAGGCCTCTGAAACCATTCCGGGCAGAGCAAGGAAGCCAGGCTCGAGGTGCCAACTGTGTGGCTGCAACAAACAAAGGGGGTTCTTTTGGGTTTTTAAAACCCAGAGCCGCAATCTGTTGAGCGCCCGACTCTTGATTTCGGCTCAGGTCATGATCTCACAGTTCGTGGGATTGAGGCCCCAAGCTGGGCACTGGGCGGACAGTGCAGAACCTGCTTGCGATGCTCTCTCCCTCTCTCTCTGACCCTTCCCTGCTTGCCTGTGTGCTCCCTCCCTCCCCCCTCTCAAAATTAACATTAAATTTAAATCCGGAAGCTGGATAATGTGGTATACAGGAGACATCTTACAAATGGTAGGTTTTAAAGCATTCTGCAGAGGAAGTGGCCAGAAAAGAAATCCTGGTTCGGACAAGCCCCAGCAGGGTGCCCCAAAGCCCCTGGCTCTGGGCCCCTATGGGTGCCATCCTGCCTGGAGTCAGTTTACGGGACTGTGCCCAGAACACACTGTGATTTCGGTCCTGGACTGCAGGGACAGCGCGGGGCGGGGGGCGGGGGGGCTGGCCCTGGGGGGCAGCCAGCTGGTTGCTAATAAAAAAGCTATGGGCCAGTAAAACAGCCAAGCTCCAGTGGTGCTTATAATTCATCAGCTATTGATTTTTCAAAGAACACTGTCCAAAAACTGAAAATTTGGTCGATTTTTATAAACTGTCTAGCTGAAGCTGGGCTTAAAAGTCTGGGAGGATTTCACGCTCTACTCAGAAGCTCTACATCTCATCTGCCTGCAAGTTTCTACGGTCGAAAACCCACAGTTTTAGAGACTGTGATAACAGTCAACAGGTAAGTGTGCACAGGGGTGCAATTCTCTCTGAAACAGCTCGAAGATTCTTTTGAAAGAATCAACTGGGAGCCGTGTCTTCCAAAGGAGCAGAACTGTGGCAGAGGCCATGAACTGTGGCTCCGGAAGGGGGAGAGGGAGCGGACCTCTGGCGGCGGGAATTCCAGGGCCAGGAGCTGCCTGTCAGGGGCTTTTCCTGGGCAGATGCGCGACACGCCCCCAACCCGCCCCCGCCCCCTCCGGGCCTGGCGACAATCTGGCTGCCCCAGCTGAATGGAGCGGGCTCGACCTCTGACCTTGCAAGTGACCACCCTCTTCCCTGCCCCCAGCTTCCAGAACGCCCCACCCACTGCCTTCCTCTCCCATAATTTCTAAAATACCAGGCAGAGACAAAGACCTAGGAATGTGGGCCCAGCGGGAGAGGAAGGAGAGAGGTGACGGGAAAAATAAATAAATAAAAATACCAAGTAGGCAGGTTTACCATGGCCAGTACCAAAATAAAGTGCTGTTATTGAGTAAGACGGTGTGTGCGCTTCTAGAATCTTCTTTTTATCCTACCTGTGTGATCCAACAAGGAACGAGAGCGCGCGCGCACATATACACGTGGGGCTCCTATTAGAGTGCCATGCATCCAGGGAAGGTGATTCCAGTTTAAAATACAACTCCCCAGATCACTGAGGAATGGGAACAGAAAGGAGGTCATCCAAACGCCCCAACCAAAATATGGAACCGCTGTACACTTAGGTTTTTGAGGGCTTTTTCTTCCCCCTCCACATCCCTTAAAATGACTCGGGCCTGGACAAAAGAGGTCATCACCAACCACCCGGGATAGAAACCAAGTGGAGGACGGCCTCACCTGTGTGTGTGCCAATTAAACAATTTAACCAAGTTCAAGGAGTGGAGTCCAGCTATTTATTCTGAAGGAAGTCTGCTCAATCACATCAGAACCAAGTTTTACTTGATTTGGGGCAAATTACACGGAACGCCAGTGCTCCAAAACCCACAGGCCTGAGGAAGAGGTCTGTCCTGCCCTCCTGGCCGCGTGCTGCCCGGGGTCTGGGACCTGGGGGCTCTGGGGGCCAGGAAGAGGGGAAAGAAAAGAATCTGGACCCTCTGCATACACAATCGCCACTAGCCCCAGTCAGCAGAACCCAGCTGCGGATAAGAAAGGCCGCCAGGGAGGGGCCAGGGAGGGGCCAGGGAGGACGGAAAGGAGGGGTGAAGCACTTAAAAAAAAAATTGGGGGGTGGGGGGACCCTGGCTGGCTCAGTCCATAGAGCACGTGACTCTCCGATGTTGGGGTTGTGAGTTTGAACCTGGCGTTGGGTGTAGAGATTCATTAAAAATAAAATCTTACATAAAGAAATTTTAGGGAACATATATGCAATTTTACTGCAAAAAAATGTTAAGTGCAAATCTTTTTTTTAAATCTCCCAATTTCTCAATGTTTCTACTTTATGTAACCATCCAAAAATGTTACATTCTGTGCATGTGAAATTTTTAAAAAGACACAAATAGGAGCACATTATGTGAGCCTTTTTTCATTTATCTGTATTACCTTGGAGAATGTTCTGGGTCAAGCTGCCTGCCCATTTTATATAAATGCCTGCATGGTATGCTGCCTGTGGATATACCACAGGCTTATTCAATTAGTACCTGCTGATACAATTTTAAAGCCATTTCCTGATTTAAAAAAAAAAAATCACAAGCAACTGTGTTTTTCTTTATATACCTCGATTTCTTCAATCTGGTATTAAATACAATTGCTACATTACTTGACGGACAGGAAGGAAAATAATACTTGC